TGTACATTCACTTGGCATTGCCTGCAGATGTGTTCAATTTCTAGGACAAACCATCAGAATAAAAATCTTCTTTTCTAATTGTCAAGGGGTAATTCAGCATTTCACAGAGCACCCAGAAACAGAAAGGCATTTCAAACACCCCCCTTTTGATTAAGAGCAATTTTCTAACCCCCCGCTTTAGCTTTACCTCAAGATAATGAGGACACCACAAACTAAACAGGTCAAAGCCACCAAAAAGTGTACATCCTGTCTTACTAATCCTTTGAAGTACATACCGTTTGAGCTACCATGCATAAAATATTGTGAAATCATATATTCAAAAATACTGCAGAATTTACTGAGTGTATTATTCATCTAACCATTGGTAATAGTTAATATTACTCACCAAAAGCCATAGGTTAAGGGATTTGGTTCTTATATACACTGCTGAATATGACCAAGCAGGAAATTATTTTCCAAACAGTGTCACAGGAAACTGCAACACTGAAATGTGACATATGAAACTGAAAAGCATGCTTATTTCCAAAACCACTACTAAAAGTGTGGTGTAAATAGCCAATTCTGCCAAATCTGTGTCAGGTCTTTTACATTACAAATGATAAAAAAGCCAAGGTCCAGATGCCACTCCACGTCACCTTTACTGAACCCCACATGACTACTGTGCTAAAAACCAGGAGTACGACTATCATGTTGAGGTGTAGCAGATAAGATGCACTTATAAGAACTGCATTTCTGTTTGTTTTGTGTACAACATGCACAGGTAAGAACACCAATACTGCACCATCAGTCCATCTCCTGGACCCAGGAGTCTTCCTCCCTGCAGGTTCCCTGGGTCTCTGGTGCACAGGTTAAGCTGGTCCTTGCAGTAAACCACCGTTCAGGACTACAGTTCAGTATTTGACTAGAACAGTACTAGTTCACCTGTCTACCATATGATCCTAATTCAGAACACATTTAGGGAACCATGGAAAAATACATGGCAGCATACCTCTGGTGTCCTTTACCTACTCTTGTTCCAAGTGGTTTTCCCTATCAACTATGGTCAATGACTCCACTTTCTTCTTATGGCTGAACACCAAAATTTCTTGTTCTTCCTTGGTTTAATGGTAAATCATAGAATTATGTGGGTTGGAAGAGACCTCTGAGATCATCAAGTCCAACCCTTGATCCAGCCCCACTGTGATTACTAGATCATGGCACTCAGTGCCACATCCAGCCTCATCTCAAAAACCTCCAGGGATGGTGAATCCACTACCTCTCTGGGCAGCCATTCCAATGCCTCATCACTCTCTCTGGAAAGAACTTCTTTCTAATATCCAACCTAAACCTCCCCTGGCAGAGCTTAAGCCCGTGCCCTCTTGTCCTACTGCTGATTGCCTGGGAGAAGAGATCGAACCCTACCTGGCTACAACCTCCTCTTTGCATACATCCATACAAAGCAGCACAATCAATCAAATGGAGCTCACTACCAGAGGTAACTACCACTTCCAGGTCCTTCCCACTCTGGGGGTTCATATCCTTAAATGAGGGTCACCTAAAAAGCATGGAGCCCACTGAACAGCTCATAGGCTTACTGGTAAAGCAAGACCATATCCTTGATTTGTTCAGTAGATGACCTGAAGAAAAACTCCTGAAGTGTCTAGATACCATCTGGATTAAAAAGATGTCCAGCTGAAACACGTCCATGACTTCAACACTTAACAGAAGGTTTGGATTGTCCAGTTGTAACTTCTGGGTGGCTACCAAGCCCAGTGTTGTTAGGAGTGCTCCTTATTGACTGAGATGTGGCCAATTATCTCTTCCATTGTTATCTTGTATTAGGTAGTTCTTCATGTGAGCAATTCAGTGTATCTCTCCATTAAGTTACTAGCAATTCACTCCATTGAAGTGACTGAAAGCAATGTCATATGGGAAGTGGGTATAAGACCAAAAACCAGTACAAAATGATATGTAATTAAGTGCTGTTCTTTCGTAGGCTAATGCTAGTAAAAATTAAGGTTAATACTGAAGAAAATAAGATCAGAGGAAAATAATATACCACCTTAAGGTACTGGTCATTCATTTCTGCATGACTTTATCAAAGAATCAATTAACATTTAATCCTGTTAAAAGGTGCTCGGTGTACCCGTGCAAAGTACAGAGTATTCATGTTTCAGACAAAGAGCACCTTTTGGTCTACTGCATGGCCTTCAGCAAGACGTCTTAGACTTTCCTGACTAGTTACACCGCAAATTTTTCAAGAGAGTGAATTTCACTCTGTGCATGTAGCTGTACTGCATGCCACTCAAACAACGGTTGAAAGGGCTCAGCACAACACAAAATCACTCATGAAAGGCCTATATCTATGCTAGCATTAATGAGACTTTCAATATTGACTTCAATGGCAACAGTTATGACTCAAACATCAATTACCAGAAATAAAGCAAAACTGAGTTTACCAGCTTATTGATACGTAGAACCAGTAGTCACTTTCAAAACCGAATTTCATGGTATTTTATTTGCCAGCATAACTTTCAGTCAAGTGTAATTCAATTATTTAGTTGCTTATTTTCCCAAAACCTCTATTTGCATGCATGATTTTTAAAATAAATATAGAAAGAGTTCCTGAAAAATCATTAGATAGAAGAACTCAAGTCATGATATGCTCTTTCTTCTTCTACTTACCCAAAGCTAGTAGAAATTATTTGCAGCTACGTTGGTCATGCCAATATTATTATATAACAGGACTTGCATGTAGCTTCTCACAGATCTACAGATACAGATTTAAAATTAACTGGCTAAGGTTTAAGCATTGTTCCACTTTACTTCAATCTGGAAGAGAGCTAGATAAAAACAATTCAGCAAACATCCTGTAGAAAATTGTTTTCACCTTTAATGAAAATTCTCAACTTCAGATGGTTTTCAAAAACATTCAGCTGTAGACATGGAAAAAAAAGTTTGCTTAACTAGACTCAGTTCAATTTATTAAGCAAAACCTTATGAATATATTATTCAGTAATATTTCAACAAGGTTTATAGAAAAGATGCTTCTGTTCTTTCATCTCCCAATAAAGCTTAAGACCTGCACAGAAGTAAACTGTAACATGATTTGTTTCCTGACATTTTTATAGTACATCAAATATTTAGCAGTTTACTTGTAAACTTCTTTGACACTAGCAAGGTAATTGATAACGTTCCCCCATACTGTCTGAATCCCTCTGTTAAAATATGATGCATATTCAAACTGCAATCCAACTTATGATCCATTCTGATGAAACAAAAATCAGAGTATAAGACAAATCTGGACTGTCTATTCCTCTTGAAAGCACAATACAGTTTATTCTACATAGTTTTTTTAACAAGTATTAAAACCTGTGCAGCTCTTATCCATGATTCTAAAGCAGAACTGTGTAGAATTTTTAGAAGTGCCATTATCAGTCAAATCTAAACGTTGCCTCTTGAATTTCTAACTAAAGTTGGCTGTCACTCACAATAAATGATAATGAAGACCTACAGTGAAGCCCACTCTTTGGAGGGTTTAATTGGGATTTTACCCTTGATCTTAACAGGACCAACACCTACTCAAGATTTATAAAGTTAGAATACTTCACTACATGCCGGTGGGTACAGAAACACAGTGTTTTAGTTCATTTCGAATTATTTCATGTCAACTAGCACAAGACAGCTATAGCAAGCATCGGAGCAGCAGCTTAGCAGAAGTTGCCTACTGGTAAAGGTTATCATATGTCTGAAGAAATGAAAGGAAGTATTAGCTCTCCTACATTTAATTTACCTGCTTGACAATTATGCCTAGGATTTTGAGTGGTGAAATAAATTCCCTCTTCAGCTCAAAATTACCTGCAGTTTGAGCCGCTGGTAGCAAAGAAATGTTATCCTGGTCAGCCCTGATGCACTCAGCATAGGGACCCTTCCACTCACCAAACATAAAGGTTCTCCCCCAAATATCAACTGAAGGGGAAAAGGAGCAGAAGCAAGACCTTGATTTCATTCAGTGCCTATAAAAAAGCAAAGGCATTTTAATGTGATGTCTTGATTAATTCATTCTAAGCTCCGTTTATCCAGACTCCTTAACACTAAAGTGCACAGTCCTGGAAAGAATATCACATGCTGTATTACCCTTAAGAAGTTCAAGTGGTAGTCAGTGTATGTAAAAGATTGGCAGGAAGGCAACTGTTAGATATTGACAATATTGACTTCAAGAGGTCTTGGGATACACATCTTTCTATTTACTCTTTTTATGAATGATTTTTTCATTCATCATTTTAGTCACAATTGACATTCTGTAACTAAAATAAACCAGAAGTTTTTCTCTTTTCTTTGCAAATTGTCAACTACATTAACCTTGTCAAGAAAGCCCACAAGAATAAAATCAATATAGCAATTTAAGGACAAAATTGGCAGGCATTATATTGTACTTGGACGCATCTAGTAAATAGCCTCATACATCAAACTACTGTCATCAATGGCAATATTCTGAAACCTACTAATGTTGTTTATTACATTTGTGGTGTGAAATGCCAAAGTAAGTACAGATATCGGTGCAGCAGATGAAAAATAACAAGGAAATAATATCTGACATGCCTGAAAAGCACGGACTAGAGACTCAGGTGTCATTTAAACGCTCTGTACATCCAGCACGGAGAGCGGCTGCTCTCTGTAAGCGATACGGTACCAGCAGCGACCTGCTCGCCCATACAGAAGCCGCAGTGGGAGCTCCGGGATCCACCGCGCCCCGGCCCCGCGTCCCGACCGCCAGCTCCGGGCAGTGCCGTCCGTCCTACGCCCCTTCCCCGGGGTGGCACCGCACACGCCGCCGCTGCAGCTCTTACAACTCACTCCCTCTTCCACCCCTAGTTCTGGCTGCACTACCAGCCGGGGTCTGACTCCCCCGGCATCCCCCTCCCCGCTGCTCGCTGGACCCTCGCGGCTCTCCTGCCCCGCGTCCGCTCTCGTGGGGTGGCGGGTGGGGAAGGGCAGGCGGCGAAGTTCGCGGGACTTACGGTGGCAGCGCTCCCGGCACTGGCGCGGCACCTCTCCCGGCCTCCCGTCACCTCGGGCCACCTCCGCGGCGGCTCGGCGCCCGATCCGGCGCAGCCCGGACGCCCCTTCACTCCTCGAAGGAGCTCATGGGGCCGCCCGCTCCCCGACCCCCGCCTGGTGGGTTCCCGCGTCCCGCAGGCGGCGGACAGGCACCAGCCAGGGTCGAGCCCCTCTGGTGGGGCTGCGCCTCGGGCAGCATCTACCTCCTCTCGCCCGCGCCGCGCCCACCCCCCCGCTCCACCCCGGGCGCCGGCGGGGCTTCGCGCAGACGTCGGTGCGGGGCGGCCGGAGCCCGCCCGGCGGCGGCGGCTGCGCCTCCTCCACCCCCGCCTCCCCGCAGCTCCCGGCCGCTCCTGCCGCTGGGGAGCTGTGCCGGAGCCGCCGCTGCGGGGGCGGGAGCAGCGGGGGCCGCCGGCGCTCCCGACACACCGCCTGACGGAGGAGGGGACCCGCGGCGCGGGGGCGAGGGACGCCCGGCCCGGGGGCCTGGGGCGCGCCCCCCTCGTCCCCGCGGAGGAGGCGGAGGCGGCAGCGGGAGCCCTTTGTCCCGGCAGTGCCTTCCCAGCGCGGCCGGGGTCTCTGCATCTCAGCCGGCCGGGCTGTGTCCCCAGTGAGGGTCTCAGGGGCCCGGTCGGACACCCCACCTCCTCCTCCTCTCGGAGAAGGTCCTCAGGCCCGAGCCAGCTTTCTGGTCCCATCGCGGGCACCTTTCCGAAGAGGAAATGCAGGGCGTGGAGCGTGGGACCCTGCGCTCCTGCACCTGGGCGAGAGGGGCGCTACCCCGGCAGAGGATCGCGGGCTGTCGGCGCCCCTGCCCATCCCGGGGATGCTACTCCCCCGTCCTCCCGTTCCTCCTGTCTGCCCCGTCTCCTTTGATGCTCCTCCAGCTTGCGTGAATCATCTACCTACCGTCCACCGAGCTGGGGAGGATGAACAAGAGGCGGCCGCAGCATTCCCCGGACGGCAGAGTCATCTAAATTCCCGTTTCTGCTCCAGAAGGTGTGTCCTCGTTTTAAACCAAAGGACAGGACGAGGAAGACCTTGTTCCGGCCACCTCTGGTCTCAGAAGAGAGGCATCCAGAGGCAGCTGAGCTAACAGCCCCCACCTCGCGGAAGAGCGTCGAGTGGTTGTGCTTGAAGCAGTGCAGGGAAGGACTTCTCTGCTGTGACTGCTCCAAGCTGCCCAACGTTTAAATATCCAGAGAGCCACAGTGAGGCTGAGAGACGGAGCGAATGCACAGTGATTCACCTCAGCGCTCCTGACAAACGTGTCAGTGTGTACAGCAGGTAGTGGGGTGTCTTCCCAGCAGATGGAGTCAGGAGGCAAACAAACTTACTCAAAAGGTACCACCAGCCGGCTGAGAACAGCTTTATTCTTTGTCTTTCTTTGCAAAGGGTGTTGCTCCATTAAATAAAAGGAACTTTGACACTGGCTTTGAAGTCGCCTGGCTTACTTCTGAATGGACAGTTAGCTCCCAGCGAAGCAGTTGTCAAGTGTTTTTCTTCCACCTGCCGCTTTCTCTTACAGATTACAGTCAAATTTTACGGCTTGCCTTTCTCACAGAAACCTGCATGCAAACCGGGCTGTCTGCCTTTCTCCAGCACAGGCCATGCTGAGGAGGGAAAGGAGCAAGGGAGATTTGTGCTGAGAAGGAGGTGCTGGGCTTAGCATGCGCCAAGTTCCAAGAAAAAGCAACTCCTTGCCGGTTTTTCCAGGACCTGATAAAAGGTGCCATTAGATAATACCATCAAAGAAACTTGTCCTCCTTGATACAGGAGGGGATAGGAAACCGTAATAAAAGTTGAGACACTCAAAGAATACTTATGTAAATCATCATCCCTTTAGGATTTAAACTTTTGCCGTAGGTTTCACCCTTTATCCTTGCAGATACATAAGGAGAAACAGTGGAAGTTGCTTTTATGAGCTTTCATAAAGCTACAATTGCTTCACAGCATTCTCTGGCAGGAACAGTGAAGTTAGGGGAGGTTCTCATTAGCTGTGCTAGGTCTGGAACCGTGGAGCAGCACCCCATGGACTCACTGCAGTCCTGTCCCTCTTGTGCTACAGCTGTCCCTAGGTGGGCTTGGATGAGTCATGGTTCTAAGTGCTTAAGATGTTTGTGGAAGAGGAGCTGCTGAGAAGCAAAACCTTAAGCTGAAGCCTAGGGAAAGCAGGAGAATCCCCCTTCCTGTCGTTGCAGCAAAGAGGTAAAATAGAGAGCTTTTTGATGCCTGATAGCCTGGAATATTTTCTTTTCCAGAGGTTTGAGAGGGTGTGAGTGAGTGGATCATCAAATAGGTACAGATTGCTTTAAAGATAGAAAAAGCAACTGAATTAGTTGCATGCAGGTGATGGGCTATTTACCAGTAGTTTCTTCCATAGTCCACTCATTTAGGATTTTTTTTGTGTGTGTTGTCTGGCTAATACTGTTCATTCTATGATTGGAAAGCATCACATTTCAATGAATGGTTTTATGCTTATTTCAAAACAGATTGTATGTTGCTCTGTTTTCTCAGTGAATAGTTTTCATTTGCTGAAGTATAAATCTGTCATCCTATAATCTGGAAATAGGTTTCCTAAGGTCTGGGTGTTTTTTTGTAAACTTCCATTTTGTTAACCATTACGTTGCACACAGAAGCAGCACTTTCCCATTTGTTCTGCTATAAGCAATTCTGTTGTGCCCCGTGGGATTGCAAGCATGAGTAGTTACTATTTAGCATGTGTGTAAAATACTGATCAGACCTATAAATAACCACTGGAAAATTATTATTAACTGTACATTGGTGGGTTTATTTCTACTTGTGCTCAGGAGTCATTACAACACTGATTTCTGCACAAGAGAGGTGGCTAAGACAATGTTTTATGTTGTGATATTATAGTGTTGCTTTGTACATGAAAAGTGAAGAAAGTCCAAACCTGGTTGTAATATTTCATTGATTTCATTCTTTTATGAGGGAAAACATTTTTCCATATAGTATGGAAAGTTTTTCGTTTCTATAGGTTGTCTTGTTTGCATCATCTTTTTTTTCCTGTAAATATAGTTTCTCTACCTTTAACAGTAGTGCAAGTAAGGATGTCACTTGTGAAAAAGGCATTGTCTTAATTTTCTTGGTCAGGTGCAGAATTTGAAAGAAAAATCCAAGTTCCCAGATGGACCTATAAGCTTTCCATGAACAGGTAGAGATGTTTTCTTTTGCAGATGCCTGCATTACAAGCTGTTTGGAGGTGAACTATTTCCTATCACGATTTGTCTATCTTTCCTGTGTGGAATGGTATACCCCATAGGAACTACCTAGAGCACAGTATCTTCAAATAAGAGTTTGTTCAGATTTAGTTTGTTTGAAGCATGGGAAGTGTGAGCATTGAGCTGTCTGCAAAAGACCATGGAGGCATGCTGTATGCTTTGATAAACAGATCATAAATAATGCATTTGAGTGAGAGCTACATTCACAATTTAGATAAAAATTGGAAGGAGTCAAAGACATCATTTAAACAAAAATGGTAATAAATTCAGCCTAATTCAGTTCAGTGTGAAAAGAATGGGAATTTGCCATTAGCTTTAGCATAAGTTACTTCAGAACCTCTAAGGCTTCCATGGGAATATTTAATTCTTTTGCATACAACTTTGTAACCATGACTTTGCATTCTTAGAAGTGACTTGATTGAAAACTCTGTGAATAGTTACAGCATTATCAGCAGCACTGCAGGTTCCTAACTCTACCTGCTTGCAAACACATCAGCTCTGTGAGAAGGAAATTTGTGGAGTGGCTGTACCTGCTGTTCAGGCCATGCTATCCTAACCAGATGATTTTCTTTAATTTTCAGAAAGAGAGGTCACTCTGGAATTAGGGATTTGAAGAGTCACAGGTAAACAGTTTTATGAAGCTACTGCCAGTTGAAGAAGTCCATTCCAAACATGAAAGGCAACATCAGGAGAAGTATGGAAGTGCTCAAGTGGCTGGAAGACATATGAGGAATTTAGACTAGATTTACTAGAGGAACAGAACAGTGTTCTATTTCTATTCCTGAAGATATCAAGTCATCCAAGGTTTGTTTTTTTAAGACAGTGCTTTCCAAAATGAAAGGTTTGTGTTTAATTTTATGTTAGCTTTGCTTGTAGAAATCTGAAAATCAAGCCTTACTTGTTTATCTGAGATCAGATACCTCGTTAGAATGATGTACAAATTGTCTTAATGTCACAATAGATTTATTTAAATCAGTTGCTCAATGTACAGTAATCTCAGTTTCTTAATGTACAAAACAAACCATGGGTAATTACATTTTCCTTCTTGCTTAAATTTCAAGTTTTAATTTATGTTATTTAATCTGTCCAAGTGTTGATTCCACAGTTCACATCTCAGGACATTCTAAGAGACTCTCTGAAACATTTTGAAGTTGGGGGGGAGGGGGGGAAAAGACACGTCTCTAAACGAGAATTTGTTGCCCTTTTTATAGGGGTTTTTTGTGGATTTTTTTTTTTAGAAAAACAGTAATTAGGAGTCAGTAATTAGTAATTAGCAGACACAAAGGCAAAGAAATAGGAAATGAAAAATACAAGAAAATTAGTCGTATTCATGTTTTAAAAGAATAGAGATGAATTTTCAATGAATAGAGACATTCCAGTTGTTAGTATTTATAATATATTCAATTTTCTATAGAAGAGACTATTTTAATTTAGCAATACATGTTTTCATTAGTACAACACTCAGTAATTGGTAGCAAAAACACAGTGGGCTTTGCTTGCTCTGTATAGAGGAAGGAAAGGGAAAGCAAATACGATAATGAAAATCTGGGCAATGGGAACATTTCCAAAGAGTGGGCACCTGATTCCCTCAGAATGAGCAATTATTTTCCATCTTCACTTGGAACTCAATACCCTGGGCCTCATTAAGCCAGTGTGTAGCTGTATATGGTTCTAGAGAGAATCTCAGCCAAGCATCAAAAAGAAGAGCTTTTCAGGAGAACTAAATGCACCAAGAGTTGCAAGAAATGTCCTCTCTGGTATATGTACAGTATATAAACCATAAAATATTCTAGATTACATGAATTTTTTCTGGAAACTCCTTCAAGAGCCTAATGAAATGTCTACAAACCATCAGCAGCCATATTTAATAAATCATACATAC